ATGGCCTCAGTACACGATATTCTTTCTGCCTGGAATACTCTACTCCCAAACACTGTCCTCATTCACTTCCTCGGGTCTATTTGGTTTTAACACTAAACATGGTCTATTTAAAATAGCAACCCTGGCCCAGAGGGATAGCTCAGCAAGCAAGTAAAGATACTTGCTGATAGCCTGAGGACCAGTTTGAGCCCTAAGAACCAGAGTGGAAGGAAAGAACCAACTCCCACAAGTTGTGCTCTTACTCCCATGTGTTTCACAGGTGTGAGTGCACAAGCGCAAGCACACACACACACACACACACGCGCGCGCGCGCGCGCACAATTAAAACAGCAACCCTACACTTACTCTTCAAACCCTTCCTCAGCTCATTTCCCAAAACAGTCTTGTTATTATACATATCCATGTATTTCACATACCAATTAAGATGAAAAACACCATACAGATCAGACTATGCGTTCTACGCTTTGCTGTTTACTCAGGAGACTATTCTTTATATAAAGCAGAGAGCTGAGATTATTGATCATGATCTAGTCTAAGAATATAAACAAACACATGGTAGACTAAAGAGCAAATATAGCAAATACCAAGGACTGAATCTAGTACTTCACACATTGTTCAAGCACTTTACCACTGAGCTATGTCCTCCTTCAGTAAGAAAATGAACTATTGAATAATTTTTTGTTCGTATACTAAGATACACTGACTATTAGTCATATGCTGTGAAGTGGTATCTATTTGAACTTCTTTACAGTACTGATAAATACTACCAATAGTATTTTACAAAAGAAAAAGAAGATGACAGAGTCAAGTAACTTGTCTAAATGTTGCATGGCATTTGACAAAAGGAAAACTCCAAGGTGCTTAGCTGTTGATTCTAGGAACTTACAAAAACAGTATAGGTACTCCGCTTATAATACTCAAAAACTTCATTTCTAAGACTGGTGAAATTAGTAATTCTAAGTTTTAAATGACAAGTTATCACAAGTATTGTTCTTCCCCCCTTTATATGATTCAAATGTTGATTGGCAGCAGACTGGCCCAGTGCACTGAAGGGCTTTTAGCCAGGTCTGCAGTTAGAATCAATGGGGAGAGCTGTGTACTAACAGAGCAGAGACAGCTGAAGGCAGGTACAGCAAACGTGCGACTAGTCCTTAAGACAGGAGCCGGGAGAACTGTCTGCAGCCTTAAGAGGCAAAAGTGTCGACAATGTGCACAAAGTTTATGGCAGAAACTCATTTTTCTAGTTTATAAAAGCTAACCATAAAAATTACATTGCAGCAAGGTGGTGGTGATGCACACCTTTAATTCCAGAACTTGGGAGGCAGAGGTAAGATCTCTTGAGTTTGAGGCCAGCCTGGTATACAGAGTAAGTTCCAGAACAGCCAGGACAACACAGAGAAACCCTGTCTGGGGGGAGGGGGGCGAAAAAGTTACTTTGCTTTTGGCACTTCAAATCCATGAACAGAAAATGAACCTTATATAATCTGTGTGGTTGTTTTATTACTAAGTAATAAAACTGTATTCATTGAGCTCAAAGATCCAGAGTATTTGAGAATTTGGACTAGCCTTTCCTTCTGGGTTTACTGAAAAGGATCTTGCCTCTAATGCTCCCTGTGGTGCTTTCCAGTTTGTGCAAGAAATAACAGACCTTGAGAAAATTCCTCTCCAGTAGAAACAAACTTCTTCAGCAATAGGATTGTTGCTTTTTAAGATACACTTAAAGTACGTTATTAAAGAGCCTCCACTTACTTAGATATCTGGGGAAAATGTAGAAGCTACACATCAAAACTTTAGGCCATATGACCTTACAAAACAGAACAAGATTTTACTTTGTCATAAATTACTATCTTGATAGTATTAGCAAAAATCAGAAAATAAACACGTTATTCAGGGAGTCTTAACACTTGTTCCTCAAGTTTCATTATCAGTTCACTTTCTAAATCATGAGAAAGATCGTGTTCTATTGAACAAACAGAAAAAAGTGAAATGACCATTAGCAAGATATTTTGTGTGTCCTGAAGCTGAGCAATGTCAAATGCCTTAAATTCAGTTATCTCACCCCATCTCACAACCAACTCACCCAAAGTGAAGGTACTCGGTACTGTTTAAACAGTCTTGGTTTGCTAAGTGAGAAACATTTACACATAAGAGACTCCCAAGGGTCATTTAGCACTAACACCCTCATGGAACTTTTCCTTTCCATTAAAAACTAATCTAGACTAGTTCAGAGTAAAAACACACCAATAAAACCTATACATTCGTTATAAATTAAAAAAAAATCTCAAAAAAGTACTAAGTCAGGCCAGGTGTTGTGGTTAATACCTGCTATCGAGCCATTCCTCTGGTTGAGGCCAGAGGATTCTGAGTTAGGGCTCGCCTAAGTTACATACACAATGAGTTCAAAATCAGCCTGTGATACAGAATGAGACGCTGTGTCTTGAGAACCCACAAAAACATAAAGAATTTCACTGTCAACACTTAAAACAAGTCGTACCTAACCAGTAAGAGACAAATCCACACTGGTTAGATAAGTATGTTACACACTGGACTTGAATCTCTGGCAACACTTTATTAAAAATGACCGGCCCAAAAGGCTATGGAGACTAACTCTCTAGCCATTATGCTAAAATGCCACAGCTGGCTCTACTTCTGTGTGCACATTTTATGAGAACGCCATCCCCACATTATAAAGCACCATAGGTATTTCATTCTCCACAACACAATAAATCTGAACACTTGAGACAGGACCCCGGAAAGGCACTTCAGGCTTAAAGGGGGAGGCACATTTAAACTGTAGGCTCCTTTCTGCTGTCCCCACCACAATGACACACTGTTCACAAATACAGAACGCCAAGGGACAGTGTCCCCACCCCGACAAATAAATCTGGGCAGAGTAAATTTGTCTTTCAAGTAGGTGAATGTTAAAAATTTGAGGGATGAGAAATACATGGAGCAAGAGTAAAGACGACATAACCGGAGCGATGATTTTAAGGAAAAAAATCAGTGAATTTAAGTTTAATTTCCAGATTCTTTATAACAAATGAAACACTTATGCTCTCATATGCTGTGCTGCTTCCTAGGGCCATCAACAAGATCTGAGTATTTTCCACTTGAACAATTAGACGGTAGAGAGCATTCGTCCAGGTTACACCCTGGAAACTTGTGACATTTCACTTACATAGATTTGGAAGCTAAAAAAGAAAATAGGACAATATTCTCCAAGGTTAGAAGTTGTATCTTGGAGAAAAGACAATAAAATTACAAATTCAGAGGATGGAGAGATGGCTCAGCAATAAAAGCATTGGCTGCTCTTGCAGAGGACAGATTCTGTTCCCAGCACCTACAAAGCTGCTCACAATCATTCTCAACTCTAATTCCATGAGCTTCAATGTCCTCTTCTGAACTCCACGGGCACCAGAAGCATGTGGTGCAGATACACATGCAGGCAAAACACTCATGCACATAAAATGAAATAAATTAATCTAAATTTTTTATATTATAAATCAAAAGGTCTAGACTGGGTAAATATATAGTAGTTCAGTGGTAGAGCACTTGCCTAGTATATATGTCAGGTGACCATGTTCAATGCCAAGTAACCACGCCCCCACAAAAAGTATAAAACGGTAAATGTTTCCTTATAATAAATTTTGTTTTAAAACATCATTTGTGATGTTAAATAACACTGTTGGCATGCAACGTTCTACAACCTCTGCCAGTCTCAACTCTACAACGAATAATCCAGGAAAACGACCCAAATCTGAAAGACTCTAGAACAAACCTGTTATTTCTCACTGCCCTGTCAATGTTCATACAGTCAGGCAAAATAATCTTACTAAGAAGGCAAGTAGAGCATTAGCAATTGTGATCTCCTTACTCGTCAACCAAGAGGCAAAGTCTTCAGAATGATAGTCTCCCTTAAGAAATCAGTACTAAATATCATTCATTAAAAATAATCACCATAAAAAAAAATCAACCTTTACTGTAAATCCCAATTGAAATTGTCTTTTGGGGGTGTATCTACTTCTTCCCACTCATACAGGAACCAGAAGTACTACTCAAGCTGGGGTGTGTGAATTTTGAGTATCAACAGTTCCACATACCTAGAACACGCATCAATCTTAAAAAGCAATGGACAGCTAGGCTTGGTGCTAATCTAAAATGTGCTTTCCACATAAACTATACAAGGATGCCCACTTTTCTGCTAGTAGTCTACGTCTGTGATAAGCAATAGCAAATGTGTGGCTGTGATTGTAAACTGCCTCACTGGGGATAGGGTGTAGCTCAGGGCAGAGGCTCACATAAGCAAGGTCCTGTAGCCCTCACAAGGGACCAAAGTATATGGCCTCCTGAGCTGTACAGTTACACCAAATCTCTCGTACTTCCTTACTGTTTATCTTCCCCTCCAGTGTGTATCATAACCAAGCTCAAGTATTCTATGGCAGACAAAGTGCTCTCAGCAAAACCCCATATATCTATCTTCATGGCTAAAAACATGCTAGTTACTAAATAATCACAAGAAAGAACACGGCTTCAATAATGGTTCTAAAACTTTTAAGGATGTCTGACCTTGCTCTTGCAAACAAGAGCTTTGTAACTTAATAGAAATAGAGAAAACTTACAATTCACATGAAAAATGCTTACTGAAAACACTTATGGTTAGAAAATAAGACAACTTGAACATAATCTTTCCAACCCTACACTCTTTAGATAAGGTTAGTACATAAACAGTTTTTATAGAAACCTAAAATTGGAGTCCTTCCCATACTTGTAGCTGTGATCAGAAAACAGAATCCCACAAGCTAAAGTTACCATGCTTTCTAATTATGCCAAGAGGAGAATCAGTAGCCGCACCATTGACAGGTACACTTCCAAATATTTATACTGCTTAAAAATCTTTAAAGTTCTACAAACTCACGGTGATTTAGAACTTCAAAAGTTAAAGAAATAAAAATTTACCAAAATAAATACCACTGACACTCAATGGACATCTTCACTTTAAGGCCTTTGTCACAAATCTGAATCTTTATTGTTCTGAAATAAATGTTAAAAACATAACTTGAAACAAAAACGTCAATATTCAGTCTCAGAAGACGTGTGGCTCAATGCCCATCACATGTAACAAGAAAACTTCCTTTAAAAAAAGGAAAAAGTACTATGAGGAGTCTTTCGTGAGTGAAAACGCCCCTTGTATATCCTCCCTCTTCCTGCATTTTCTTCACGAGATCTGTATGTTCTTCACAACAGTTCTTGCTATGATGTTTGACGGATTTTTTGCCACTCCACAAATTCATCAAGAAGAACAGGCCCTAGACAAAAGAAATAAGTTTTGTTATAATTCAGTAAAGTTATCCTTATAACAAGCTCTGAGGTGGCAAGAGCCCACCTACTCTACCCTGTCCTTCATTTACCACTTTCAGTTTCGTTTACCACCCCCAGGGTTATCTCCTTCTCAAGGAGTGTTTCATGAACACCCTATGATTGAGACAAAACTAACCTTTTCCCCACAGCACTAGCATTTAAAACTCAGAAATCATATTTCTGCTATATCAAGAAGCAAGAGCACTTGTTAAGGGGGTGTGGCCACATAGGACTGATTTTATTCTAAAGATAAGACACAGTAAAAAGAACAGCATAAAGCAAATGCCAAATACCTGACTGACTACTATTCTAAAAAATGAGTTTTATAATGTAGAGGTTTCAAATGTTTACCAACAAAAGCCAAGTGGGCAATTTCAACGAGTTCAGTATTTGTGATGTATGGAATTCAGTATTTCAAAATGTATGAAAAGTATGACCATGAAGAGATATATGCTTGTCTTGTTTATCTCAAAACATAAAACCTCTGGGTGTTCTTTTCTCTCTTGCTTTTAGCAGACCATACAGAAATAGCCGGGCAGGCAAAGCAGTAAATGGAACACTGTGTGAACTGCCAAACTGGAGAGCAAGCTCAACACAGCCACTACTTGGTTCCAACCTCTGAAACCTACAAAGGAATACAGGTGCAATGTGTCAGATTTTCTGATAGCTCAAAAAATTTACAAATTTTCTTTATGTCAAGCCTCTCAGTTTTAAATGTTGGCTCAACATACACAGATATCCACATCTGCCGGCTCTATGTAGCTCTTGGGCTACTAGCCTACTGCAGAAAATGATTATTTCTTCAAACAAGAATTAAACTCTGCGATCCTGTATGGAAAGAACATTACATATGGGAGGCAGGCTGTCCCTCTGGCGCCTTGCTTTGTGTCACAGTGTGTTATTTCCATTTTCGTTATAAAGCAAGACACCTTTCCTTGTGAACAGTGAAACACTACAGCACTCCAAATGACGGTAGAGACTTAAAGTTTAAGAGTTCTACAGAATTCATTTGGCTTATTTGTTGTGCCTTTGTCCTTTTAAATTCATGAGTGAAACTTTTCTTCTGCTGAAAAGGCAGGTACAAGTAGGATTTTGGCTTCTTGGTTGAGAAATGATCATTTAGCTGTAACGTCTAGTCACTGAAGAATCAACGTTTTTATTCACAAGCATAGTTTTATTTTATAACATTGCTGAATCTAGACTCCCTCCCCACATTCTGATTAAATAATGAGTTATTGTTACACTGTCCAAACTGTCTGTCAATGCCTCAGAATGCATAAACATGTTTAACATCTTTAGGAATTTTATTTTCACAGGAATGCATGATATACTTACAAGCACCATCTTCATCGTAGTTACTAAGATCGGCATGAACTGTCCTGCTGAATTCTAATACATTGTACCACTGATCTTTGTTCATAACACGATACTTTGATTGCTGTGGAAAATATGATATAAAAATTTGGACTACAGAACCAACATTCTTATTGGGGCTTGATTTTAGTGACTCTATCCATTTATTTGGCCTTTCCTAAAATTTTTCTTCCTTTCTTAATTAATTGCTGTTCTAGACTCATTTATATTATCATGTATTTTCTTTTCTGAAAGGCAATATGACCAACACCGAGACTTACATATGTGTGCACCCATGTGCTCTCAGCTAGAACCTATCCTATATGTGGCTGGCCTGACTGCGTGGTTTCCACTATACAGAACTTGTGTACATAAGCTACATTTTGAAGAGGGCATCTACAGTAGTAGTGGGAACAATATGAGCTTGGATCCATATTGCAATGTGGACACTCAATTGAGTGCTCTCTGGAAAGTTACGTTTGTGGCAGAGAACTTGGTGGACAGGCGCTCTGGGTTCTTTCTCCAGCAGTACACTAGTTACAGTGACACACACCTGTGATCCCCACTTGGGAAGCAGAGGCAGGATGATCATCAAGACTCTGTCAATGTCACCCCTCAAAACACAGACCCTTTCCTCGTAAAACAAAACCCAACCACCACCACCACCACCAACAACAACAAAAATGAAAACCCAACACTAAGCTAACCCTCCCCTCCCCATCTCCTCAGCTGCTAAATTATAAAACTTGCTTTAACATATCTTGTTCTTTTCAGAGCCCCACAGAAGTTAATAATTTTTTGTATTTAGCTAAACGTATTTTTGATCAGCAGGAGGAAGATATGTATCATTAATCAAAAATATTAATTTTACTAGTCCCCAAAAGTGACTAGCGTACAGAACTCACCACCCAGGCTTGCAACAGAACTGCTCTGGAAAAGTTACTGTGACAAGTACACAGCATGGTGAGATGGTATTTCTCACAGAGAAGGAATAGTTAGAAATATGCCCCCAAACTAAAGTTTAAAGATTTAGAAAACAAAACAAGGCAAAGCAGCCAGTGGGAAAGCAAGTGCCTGAGAGCTGGTGCGCAGGGGCATCACAGCTTGCTACCGCAGGGTAGTGGATGACTGCTGCAGCCATGCGCATTGGAGGATGCAAAACATTAACACTGCAGAGTCAGATTAGAGAATAAAAGTTTTATTACTAAAGTAAGCTCTACTGTATATGTTTCTGCCTAAGGCTAGGGGATGGAGAGTGGGAATAACACAGGAATTGGTTGAGAATTATGTAGTAGCGTCAACTTTTTCTCACCAAAACCTCAAGAAATTAAGTTTATAAGAAATGTCTATGCTAAAATGTTTTTTCAGGGACTACACCAAGGTAGAATGAAAATCCCCTAAAATTGTTTTAATGTGGTACAAGAGAACAAATGAAAAGCATATATTCTGTCACAAGTCACACTCCCAGTCCCACACACCTCAGGTACAGAATAGATAAATAACACAAACTTATACCTAAAACAGACAATAAGTATATAAATATTTTAGCAGGCTTCTTTAATTACTTATGTAGAATCTTTTAAAGCACAAAATTTGTTCCTTAAAAGTGTATTTTCAAGGGGCTGGAGAGATGGCTCAGAGGTTAAGAGCATTGCCTGCTCTTCCAAAGGTCCTGAGTTCAATTCCCAGCAACCACATGGTGGCTCACAACCATCTGTAATAAGGTCTGTTGCCCTCTTCCGGCCTTCAGGCATACATGTAGACAGAATATTGTATACATAATAAACAAATATTAAAAAAAAGTGTATTTTCAATACAATTTTCAAACATTTTAAAATATCCATACATACCTCCAGGTACTGGTAAAATACTGAAAAGAGTGGCCACGTTCTCCCAAGCAGCAGCGCTAACATAGACTTAGCAGTATCAATATCAAGACTTCTCTGATCCTTATCCTACAATATTAGTGAAAAAACAAAACGAAACAAAACAAAAAAACGTAAGTATGCCCATAAAATGAAAGCACTTAGGATCTGAAGGGGAAGCTGTACCCACCCTTGCAAAATCAAAGGCGTATCGGTAGATATTCTTAAATGATGAGATGTCATTCAGCTGTGAGCGCAGAAAATCAAACCTGCTCTGTAACTTTTCTGTGCAGTCACACCTTAAAGACAAAGGCCAGAAAAAGTATTCTAAGACCAAGTGCGTATAGAAACATTGTTTAAGTCTAGCATTTTCACAATTTAAAATAACAGACATATTTTAAATTACCAATGCAATAGTAAAGCAGAGGAAATTTGACAATCAGAATATACTGTAATAACTTCAAGAAAAATAAACATCTCAATCAAAATTTCCAAATAAAATCACAACCATGTCTTGGTGTGAAGATCAGAATGCCTGCTTAGTGGGCTCCAGATCCCATTTTAAATCCAAGTAGTGGCTCTTCTCCAAGGGATGAGCCAGTGATAATCAAGTCATTACCACACTTCTTTAGAAGGTTTTTAGGCATCAGCTTGGTGAAAAAGATAAGCCACGAATAGTGTTAAAAGTTTAGGACACCAGCAGGGCAGTACACGCCTTTAATCCCAGCACTTGGGAGGCAGAGTCAGGCGGATCTCTGTGGTTCAAAGCCAGCCTGGTCTACAACAGGCTGGTCTAGTTTCAGGACAGTTAGGGTTGTTAGAGAGAGAGAAACCCTGTCTCGAAAATTAAACCAAAAACAAAACAAACAAACAAACAAACAAAAAGTTCAGAATACCAGAAAGGAAATTAATTTATTAACTGACCTAATCCCAAAACTGGATTCCCAGAGTTTTGGTCAACAAAATGAGACCAATTATCAAAGCACCCAACTTAAGGTGCAAATACAAAGCTACAAACAAGTTGCCTTTATTAATTCTAAAGATGAAGTAAGCAGAACACCTCAACCAATGAAATACTCCAAAGTCTTGCTGGTTTTCTGATGCTGATAAGCAAGACTACCAGGATCTCTGGTCACCTCCCATATCCTTACTGCACTCGGGGCATTTTCATTTTCCATTCTCAAAAGTCACAGCTATGCTTTAGCACACCTTATTTTCTCTATTGGAAAGGATGAGAAGCAGAACTCAAGGCCTAACTCAAACTCGCCACCTGTATGAAACCACCGGATTCCCCTTGATTGAACAGGGTATAGCTACTTCAACTACAGGATTCCATTCAAAGTGAATTTCAGAATTCATGATGCAACACAGACACTTGGTATTCTAAAATTTAACCAAGATTTTCAGTATCTTAAGTCAGCAATGTGAGGGATTATGTGGGATGGGTCATAGTTCTATTAAGCAGAAAAGATTCTGGTACATCACTATTGTTAATTAAACCTTTAGTACTTTTGTTTTTATTTTTGTTTTTTGAGACAAAGTTTTTCTGTGTAACAGTACAGGCTGTCCTGGAACTAGTTCTGTAGCCCAGGCTGGCCTGGAATTCACAGAGATCTGCCTGACTCTGCCTCCCGAGTGCTGGGATTAAAAACGTGTGCCACTACTACCCAGCATAACCTTCAGTATCTATAAAGATGCCTTGTTACCTGTTTGACACACTGATAAGATATTTTTAAAAACATTCCTTGCTAGCTTTGATAGCAATCTTATAGCACCAGAAAATGAACTAAGGATTATTTAAAAACTACTTTGCGAAAACTTATTAAATACTGCAATTAGCATCTGTCCAAACTAGATAAAAGATAGACTTGTAACTATAACATTCAAATTTTCTGTTTTTTTTTTAACTTATTTTTACTATTTAAATTTTTCTGATCATTCTATCACTTAACATAAAATCTTACTTAAGAAGACATTAATTATAAGGATGGAAGACGAGAGTATGCATTATATGCATGTATGACATTGTCAAAAAATAATTTTAAGTAATAAAACAATCCGATGCTGATTAATATTATGTATGATATTTTTAGCCTAGTATAATTTAGTTTTTTATTCTTGTTTTCTTTTCCAATATAGCCAGAATTTCAGTCATTTAATATAGCATGAGAGATCGCAGATTTTTCTTTTTTTGTGCAATTTCCGTCTATGTGACCACAAATTTTGTTAAGGAATTACTGCTTCTATTGTGCAATTCTGAGTGATAACTTTTGCAAGATGTGTTTCAGGAGTAGTAAGGATAAACTTCTTAAAATAGGTTTAAGAGAGAATGAGAAAAAGACCCAGAGAAAACGAATACCAATAAAATCTTCCGGTGGCTACAGGAGGGGCAGTAACCAAAATGAGGTAAGAGAACAGTGGGTCCTGAAACTTACTGACATATGGTGGTAAGCCCACTCAGGTTCTTTTTGCCTCAGATATCTTTGCCGCAGATGACAGAAAGTTGAATGTGGTGGCAAATGCCTATTAATTCAGCTCTGGGAAGGCAGAGGCAAAAACAGAACCATTGGGGCTAGAGAAGACAGATGACAGTTGAGTGAATGAAGTGTTTGTCATAGAAGTTTGAGGAAAGAGTGAGTGACAGGCAGGCGTCAAGCTCTGTTCTCGTTCTCTCTCTCTCTCTCTCTCTCTCCCTCTCCCTCCCTC